TGTGAATCAAGTTGCATGATAGGCCTAGTGTGTCTCCGCCAATTCACAGGCAAGTAGCCAAGAGTCACTCTTCGGTCATTCGCCCACCAGGCCACCACTAGATATAGATCTAGATCTAGAATCTAAATCTAGACCAAACTGCACACTCTTGGCTGGGTGCACAACAAAATCTAGATCTGGATCTAGATACATTTATTCATGAAATACTCTCTGGGCGAAAATAAATTTATTATAGATAGACATACTACCCGAGATGATCAGTAAGTTTATAGGCCTGGCAGCCTTGCTTTGTAACCAATGTAAACTACCGCTCGCTCAGCGAGCCAATCACAATCCAACATTTTGGGGGTCCACCTAGACACCATGACTACGTAGACCCCAGTTGGGGACTACCTAGACACATGACTACGTAGACCCCAGTTGGGGACTACCTAGACACATGACTACGTAGACCCCAATTGGGGACTACCTAGACACATGGCTACGTAGACCCCAATTGGGGACTACCTAGACACATGGCTACGTAGACCCCCATTGGGGACTACCTAGACACATGACTACGTAGACCCCAATTGGGGACTATCTAGACATATGACTACGTAGACCCCAATTGGGGACTACCTAGACACATGGCTACGTAGACCCCCATTGGGGACTACCTAGACACATGACTACGTAGACCCCAATTGGGGACTACCTAGACACATGGCTACGTAGACCCCCATTGGGGACTACCTAGACACATGACTACGTAGACCCCAATTGGGGACTACCTAGACACATGGCTACGTAGACCCCCATTGGGGACTACCTAGACACATGACTACGTAGACCCCAATTGGGGACTACCTAGACACATGACTAGGTAGACACCAATTGGGGACTACCTAGACACATGGCTACGTAGACCCCGATTGGGGGCTACTTAGACACCATGACTACGTAGACCCCCATTGAGGACAACCTAGACACCATGTCTACGTAGACCCTAATTGGGGACTGTCTAGACACCATGACTACATATAATATCATTACAACCAAAGATCAGATGGATACAGAGTACGGGAACCAGCGTCTGTGGTGTAGCGGTTAAGAGCTTCGCTGTCACATGCAGGAGACCTAGTGTTGATTTCCAAGAGGGGAGAAAATTGTTATCTAGTATCTCTGCCTTTCTACTGTGATGTTGTATCTCTCTCACTTTTAAGCATAGATTTATCACAGTCTTATCCATCTTTAGTATCTCTATAACAGATGCCATGATTCATTGCTATTTCATTTAATTCATTTATAGGTTTTGAATGTGGTATAGGATTATAATTGGAATCGAGTATTTTATGTAGTTTAGTTCCTGGACTTTGCAAAATTATAACCTGGTAAATGTAATTCAAAAGGTAAGTCAGTCCAACCCTTTCAGCTCTTTCGATTTATAAATGTACTTTTCTTTGTTCCACACAATCATGCCACACGTTCCTGTTATTATTACTCTTCTATTATAAGTAGTATTCTTATAAAGAACTCATTTCTGTGTGGATTTTTCTGAAGAAAAACGTTGATTAAAGGCACAAAAATGTAAATTTTCAGTTACCACAGGCTCTTAAGTTAAGGAAATAACTAATCTTTGCGGCCATTTTCTCACTAATTTTACCTCTGAAAACAGGTGACCCCCACCTCTTTCAGTTGCAAGTATCTCGACTTGTATTCAAGATAAATGGATATTTTTTTCATCCAAATAAAGACAAGTGAACATGCTTTAAGATGATATCATTAACTCTACATGCCCAAAAATTGACGAGATCCTGATTCCACCACGGTGCCTCACATTTGATGTTTCCTGATTGTTTTTAATATTGAGCGTCACACGTGGGCTTCATCAAGCACTACCTCATTTGATTTCTTTTCCTTCCACGATACTCTTAGCAGTCTCCTAAGAAACCACATTTCGCTCAATTAACGCCTGATGCATGTTTGTATTTTTCCTTATTTTCTTGATAGTGTTTCTGTTTCATTGGGTTTTTTTCGCATTCTTTACATTTATGTCGGTATCCATAGCACTTACATGGCCAAAATTGAGTCGATAGTGCCGTGAAACACATACTCAATAATTTTTTTTTACAAAAGTCTGTATCCATCAACACATGTTTTCATTTTTCTGAACAACACAAAATCTCTGCATTCATAACAATATCTGCATATTTTTGTGTTCATTTCTAAAGGTTCATTTTCCACAACTCATTTTTTATAGGAATCATTTTGATTAGGTCAAAATCCAATGATAATATTTCCTCATCTGCAAAATCCATCTCTTCAGGTCACACTTTCAATTTTTTGTGGTGCTGTACATCCGAGGTGGCACAACTTCGTTGGCCTTGAACCCCAGCTACCGCATTTCTTACTTTTCACACTCTTTATCCATTCTAGTTTCAGGTCTAGGGATTATATAATAAAGCGATGTTTAGATCTGTCCCCGTGGTTTTATGCACCCCGCATAATTTAGCAAAATTGGATTATTTTTTTTTAGCATAATTCTAATTATTTTCCTTTATCATTCTTTGTTAAAATCAACAGAATCGCATAATTTCACATTTTTTGGGTTCAGTTTGCATAATTTCAGAATTTTTCTTGCATAAAACGAACGACGGGGACAGTTAGATTACTTCCTCATTTCGTTCCTCGTGATCTAAACACGCAATATTATATATAATCACTGGGGTGTCAAAATTTACATTAGCTCTTTGACCTTTCTTAGGCCCAGGTTGTTGATGGTTGACAGGTGTTCTGTTGTGGTTTCCTCCTTTTCTATCAAACATCTATCATCATCCTTATCACTTCTCCTTTTATTTTCCATTCTACTCTCTAGTAGTAACACCTCTAACCTTTGGCACTTATTATTTGCGTCGCAAAAGCTGTACTGTAAAACCTTTACTAAAACTAAATTTTCTTGTCAGACGCAACCCCAGTCAAGTTGGATGATAATGATAAAGTAGAGGGTCCAGCAGTAAGAAAGGGGATACTCGATAAAATAGACAATCCCACGTGGGAATCGAACTTGTGTCTATCGAGTTCCTCAACAAAGAGCGCATTCATGACAAAATCGACACCAGGTTTTTAAAAGACCATATTGGAGAGAGAGCATAAAGATGGGAACGAATTAAAGTAATTGTCACTTTTCACCCTCATTGACACAATCAAGATCATTTGTGAGGCGTGCTGGCAAAAATATGAGTTAAGTTCTCGCAATCCACAAATGGCGATATTGGCCAAAAATTGGCTCATAGGTCAAATTTGTATCATATTTTTCTATTGATGCCACATTCTTTAAGTATAACATAAATAAATAAAATTTAATATAAAAATACACAAATAAATAAAAGACAATAAGTCCGAAACAGTAAGAAAAGAGAGAAAAAAAAAAGAAATAAATTAACAATAAAGATAAAGGGGAAAAAAACAAAACAAAAAACAAGACAAACAGAGACAAAACAAAATCCCCCCCAAAAAAAGCAACTGCCGCACTCTTAATGATGACACAGGTATTAGCTTCGTGCCATCCCTCCACATGCTTTTCATTATTTCATAATTACAAATTTTAAAAACTTCACCTATAAGCTTGATGTATCTATTTCCATCTGGGCTCAAATCCGAGAAGTCACTCATTTTTGTCAACACGCTTCACATTTAGTTTTTATGTTGTTTGTTTCACTCTTTAGTAAGGTTTTACGGCGCTCGCAACTGCATAAGGTCATATGAGCGCCACATTTAGTATAATTTAGGAGGAAGACTGCACCCTATACTTCCTTACACAGAGCTAACCCAGGCCGAGTTGGATGGAAATTATGAATTTAAAAAAATTAATAAATAAATAAAAAATAAACCTATGTATAATAAAAAATTTTTTTAAATAAATAAAAAATCCCAACATTTTCCAAACCAAAATCAAACCCTTCTGCGTTCATCAACGGCGAAGAGCCAAACAGAGGGCATGTCATTCTTGTTTCATCCAATTTTGCCATCTTCAAGTTTTAAGACGCTAAAAATTTCATAGCGTCCTCTTAACTAACGAACGACAACAATCACCTGGAGATGGCCACAGCACCCTTTCTGCTGACTTGGCCCAGTCTGTCCCCGTAGTTTTATGCACCTCGCATAATTTAGCAAAATTTTATCATTTTTAGCATTATTTCTGATTATTTTCCTTTATCATTCTTTGTTAAAATTAACAGAATCGCATAATTTCACATTTTTGGGCTTAGTTTGCATAATTTCACAATTTTTCTTGCATAAAAAGATGGGAACAGCTAACACCAACATTTTTTCTCTCTGCCTTCCCAGCTACATACCAGTGGGCGGTGGTACACTAGCCACTAGTGGGCGATTTGGTCATTTTGGCATCACTGGGAAACTTCCAGCAATATAATCGACAACTTATGAATAGTAACACCAGCACTCTTTCTCTCTGCCTTCCCAGCTACGTACTAGTGGGCGGTGGTACATGTACTAGCCACGACACGAGTGGGCGATTTGGTCATTTTGGTATCAGTTGGAAACTTCTAGTAAATGTCGGCTTATGAAAACACCAACCAATACTCATCTCTCTGTCTCCCCAATACAACTACAAGTTTCTTATATTCATCTCATCTAGGTGTATGTGCGTGTTTGTGAGTGTTTGCGAGTGAGTGAGTGAGTGTGTGTGTGTGTGCAAGTGAGTGAGTGTGTATTTGTGAGAGTGTGTGTCACACTCCCTCCCTCCGTATCTCTCTCTCGTCTCACTCTCACCCCCTCTCAAAAACAAATATTATTAAGACACTGACACAACAAAACAAAGACAAAAAGACCTTGTTTAAATGATACTTTTATTGATGAATATATAAACAATGAAACATGATGGCATTTTTGAAAAACAACTATTATTAGAACAATATCATGTAGGCCTACATGTAACCAAAACAACAAACATTGTTTTTATCAGCACCACTAGTGTTGGTAACCCCCCCCCCCCCCCAAAAAACACAAAAAAACAAAACAATGTCACTGCAGTTCGAACAAATTACGACTTCTGGGCCGCCGGTAGAGGGTTGGGGAAATATTTGTTGGCTGCCACGTGCTCCCTGAGATAACCCTCCCCCATCTCCTCGTAGTCTTTGCGGGTGATGGAGCCGGCCGTCAGGAGAGGCGACATGGCAAACTTCCTCGCTCCGTTCCATGCGTCCAGGCTGGGGTTGGCTGTAGAGATGAATTACGCATATTTGTTTGTTCGTTTGTTTGTTTTTTTAGTTGTTTTTTTTCTATAAGAGTTTTACAGCACGGACAACACAATAAGGTCGTAAAAGTGTCGAAGAATAGATGTGTTACAAGGGAGTAACAAACACAAAAAAGAAGGAGGAGAGATAAGGACGACAGATGTTTGATAGGAAAGAAGGAGCAAACCACACCAGAGACCCTGCCAGCCACCCATTTATTTGTTTGTTTGTTTGTTTGATCGAGTAAAGAGAAGAACATCAACATAATAACAGTCATCATTTAGTACTGAGAAAAAGAAAGTACCTATAAAATACACCCTCCAGCCACCATATAAATTGAGCAATCTTAAGAAAGTTTGAATGTACAAAAAACCCAACAGATTTGGTTTGAGAAGAGAGCAGCACATCAACAAAACAATGGACATTTAGTGCTGGAAAAGAGTAAGACAGACAGAGAGAGAAAACAAGGAAAGAAAATTAGTAAGACTAAGACCTACTAATGGTTGCATCCAACCACCCATAAGCTGGCAGCTAGCAGTCCCGTGGGTCTAGGAGGTACCGTAGGTGAGTGTACAAGAAGAAAAGAAAAATGAGGCGCAAGGAATAAAAACTTGGACAACAAGAAAAAGAAGACACAAAAATGAAAACCAGGTCACAAACAAAATGAAAAAAAAAACCCAACAATATTGAAAGACAGAAAATGAAAACTTTGAAGAAGAGAAATACAAAAAGAACAAGAGAACAGAAAAAACTAAGACAAAAAAAACACAAAAATTTGTGTGAAAAATAAAGAATTTGTAGACGCAATCTGCATTTCAACACACAAAGATTATGCCATTCAGAACAAAAAAAATCCCCAAAAAACAACAACCAGAAAACAACCAATCAAAAGCCCCAAACACTCCGAGTACGATACTATTCATAACTTTCTTCACAGCCTCCGTCACACCAACCTGCACAGAAGACGTTGTAGGAGCTCTGGAACGGTCTCATCTGTAGCAGCTCCCAGTCGATCCTGTCCTTGAAGGCTTTCAGGTTGGCACTGCCTCCTGTGAGGAACACATTCTGAGGAAGTGCATAGGAAAATAGTCTGCTGTAGTTGGAAAAAACACATTTTTTTCCTCCCTTTTATAAGATACTAGCTGGGCCCCCATTCGATGAAAGGAATGATCAGCGGTGCCTATACGTTCTTATACTAACCGTTCTCTGACCATCTAGGCCGGTGCTTTAATATCAACTAAAAGTCATTGGAGTACTTGCTATATTTACACTCTACTGGAATGGGGCAATAAATCTTGAGAGATGCAAAAAATTATAAGGTCAAGATCTATCTATACTCTCAAAACAAAACGCGCCTCGCGAAATATCACTTCCGGATTTTCTAAAATTACAGAGACAGAAGCGTCGGCCTACAAAAGCGATCGGCAAAATAAAGAAATGTTGCTTTTTTGCAGCAAAACTGTCTCAAAACTGAAAAAACCAAGGGCGCCATGCTCTGGAGAAATTTTAAAGAATTTTTTGGTGAAAACCGCATGTCGATTGATGCAGCCATTAAAAAGCCTTTTGAATAGCAAAATTCGGCCACCACAAATAGATAATAGAAGAGAAGATAGATACATCTTTATTGTCCAGATCCTGGCACATTGGTTTGGTGTTTCACCACGTGTACACACACACACACACACACATACAAACATACGCAAGCTTACAATCACATGCATAATATAAAAGAGCAGAACAATATAAACAATAATAATCTTAAGCTAGATACAAACTCAATGTTATTCTGATGCATGCTTTAAGGTCATATGAATACTTATACAAGATGGTTAAGATGGAAGAATTTTGATGGACGATGGTGAAAATGACCTTTTGTATCTTTCTTTGATACAGATCAAAAGTCTAGGTCTTTTACTTCTGACTAATGTTTTTATTTGAGGGAACAAGGGATGTTTGTTGTCTACTTTAATCTTTATAGGGGAGTTTGAACATCAGAAGCGTGTAAATTTCAGTGCAAGTTTGAGAGGCAAATGCCTCAGACAAAATTAATTAGAACATCCATTTCACGTTACACCATTTACACGCATCCAAGTATTTTTATTCAACTTTTAAACAATCTTTTCCTTTTATCATATTGGCCTGTAACACAATATTAATAAACTCACACAGCACAAGAATTGACTATAATATCCACTTTTGGTTGAAATAGAGTAATCAATATAGGTAGTGAGATTGTAAACTTCTGTAAATATTTAAGCCGTGGCTCGATTTGGTATCGAGATATGAGACGTTTCTTTTTTGACTACATTATTATAGAGATTTCAAAATCATCAAAATTTCACTCGTTTTTCTCGAAACTGAGACAAGTGAATATAGTCACTTCTCGTGCTCAGCCGTCGATATATTGAAGGTAGTTTTAATACGACATCATGACCATTTATCGAAATAGGCAAGAAGAAAATATACAAAACTAGCCAAACTAAGCCTCATGAAATAAGTCACTACAAAATGAATGCAGTACTTGCAACCCTCCTCTCAACCTCACGACCCCAGTGCTTTCTTGCCCTATCTCCATTTTTAATAACAGTGAAAACAGTTTTAAAAAACAGGGAGCTTAAGAAGAAGTCAAATTTTCTATATTAAAAAAAAGGAGATACCACAAGAAAGCACTGTGGTCGCGAGCTATTTTTTAATTTATTTAGTAGAGGTCTTACGGCGCTCGCAACTGCATAAGGTCACATAAGCGCCAAGGGGTGGATGTCAACAGAGAAGTCTTTACAGGGACTCAGGCTTACTCTGCTCACCTCTCTAGCTTCAACAACACAAAGTCTGTATCGACATTTACGGCACCCCGGAAATAGCGGGTCACAAGAGTGTGACAAACATACAAAAGAAGTAGAGGAAAATGACAATAGTAAGGATAAGGAAAGAAAAAGCAGCAGTTCCCTGTCGTACATCAGGCACTATTATGAGCATGACATTGTTGAATCAGCCCATTTACAATTCTACAGTGCATAAGAACGAGAAATGTCTCCCCTTTGGGAATGGCCTAAAAACACGTCAGTCAGTGGCACTGCCCCTGTGTGGAGGGGGGGGGGGGGGGGAGTCACAAGTTGTGAAACTGATGTTAGGAAACAAACCTGAACTATCCTGTCTTGCTTCTCCGCCTCTAACCTGTTCAACATGAACTCCATCGTCTCTGCCAGACCGGCCTGATCCAATCCCAGCACCGACGGTTGAAACAAAAGTTCCGGCGCCCTGTTACGACAATAGAACAATAGTAACAACACCATAATATGTGAAGCAACGTGGAGAAATCAGGAGCTGGTCAAAATAATGAAAACGAAGAAACAGGCATTTTTCGTCAGTTTGGCAATTTTTATCAAATTTTTTGTGTTTTGGTGCAACACCTTTTATGTTCATCTGAACACATTTCAAAGTGAATTTTACAGAAAAACGTTGATTAAAGGCACAAAATATGTAATTTTTCAGTTTTCAAGGGCTCTCAAGCTATTGAAGTTACCAAACTTTGGCGGCCATTTTCTCGCTAATTTTACCACTGAAACTAGGTGACCCCCACCTCCTTCAATTGCAAATATCTCGACTTGTATTGAAGATAGATGGGCCATTTTTTTTCATTGAAAGCAAGACCCATGAACAAGCTTTAAGATGATACCAAAAGCTCCACTTTCCTAAAAATGACGAGCGCCTGATCCCACCGCGTCGTGACACATATGAGTTACTTACATTGCATTTTGACAAGTTTACAATATGGGTATTAAATTAAAATAAGTAAAGTAAATTTGAAATAAGTTACATTTCATTGATCCCCGAGGGGGAAATTTTGAGTTACAATGGCAAACATACATACGTAAACGCATAATTAGAAATTCATACATAACATAAATACATACATACATGCATACAAAAATAACAGAATACACATCGCAATACAGAACAATTTCACAAACGTGCCATATAATATATAATACAAATATAATAAAATATAATATAACATAAAATATAATATAATATAATATAACATAATATAATATAATATAGAGTATAGAAATACATACATAACATAAATACATACATACAAAAATAACAGAATACACATCGCAATACAGAACAATTTCACAAACATGCCATATAATATATAATATAAATATAATAAAATATAATATAACATAAAATATAATATAATAATATAATATAATATAATATACTATAATATAATATAATATAATATAATATAATATAATATAATATAGAGTATTTGTGTAACACAAATTCCCACTCAACAAGGAGTTCTATCCTCGCCCTATTGGATATTTGTTCAAATTTACACAATGAAAACCAGCTAAAATAATGCATTTAATGTATAGCTCAAATTACCACTCAACGGGGAGCTCTATCCGCTACACAACCTACAAATAAGGACATGTTCCAGCTCTTCAGGGGGGGCGGGGGGGTGTTGTTGTTGAGGAAGAACAGTACCAGTGCAGCTGCGTTGTGCACTCACTTGATCCTCTTGAAGGGGCGGAAGGACACACACACACAGACACACACACACACACACAATAACTCACCTGATCCTCTCTATGCCTAGCTGCAGACGATACGACTCAGCCAGGGACAGCTCGCCTGACAGTCCACCCACGTCCATTTCTCTGGTGGAGGAACAAAACAATGCTATGAGGGGAAAGGGCTCGGTGTGATTCCAAATGATGAAATGGTACAGGTTAACAACACTATCAGGCTGTTTACGAAGCGGCACCTACAAGTATAATGTCCATCTCTGACCTAATGGACCGAGCCAAGCCGGAAATTCGTGTAAAGTGCCTTTCCCAAGAACACAATGTCGGACTGAGCTGATGCTTGAACCCCCAATCCCACAGTGCAATGATTAAGGGTCCGGTGGCCTAACCACTAAGGCTACTGACGCCAGTAACAACGTAATTCCAAATTCACCAAAACTCACTACAAAGAGCAAAAGCCAATCGAAGAGATCGGTCAAGTGCAAGATACGTGACAACCTGTTCTCCAAATCAATCAACATCATTGTTATCATTTGCCTTTCTCACACCATGTGTCGGAGAACAGGCCAACAACAACAGTAATTGATCGACAGTTAAGGCAAAGGTCATTCCAAATCTCCGAATCAGTCACTAGAAAAGGAAAGAGTCTGCCCAGAAATCAATTTTCAGCATTTTCTTCGGCAGTTGGACTTCATGTGTAAATTCTTCTTTAATATCCAAAATCAATGAAACTTCAATCCAAATATCCAGATACCTTCACATCCCCTTCATTATCACTACCATCCATATCCTTTTTCACCCGGACAACAAACGTTGTTCTATCTTTTGTTTCTTTGTCTCATATACGAGGAAAAATATTCTCAGTAATGTCAGGTGAGTGAAATGACACGCAGTAAAAAAGGTTAAACAAAAATTCAATAGGAGGATAAAGTAGGACTGAAATGACACCCTCAAAGCTATTCTATCCAAAGTTGCAAAAATAACAAAGCTATTCTAGCTATTGAAAACTAAAAAAAAACCCCACAAATCTATTCTAGCTATCAAAAAAAAAAGCTACGCATAAGACAAAATTATTCTATCAAAAGTTACAGAAAGCACCATCTCACCTATCTCCACCCCCACCCCCCTCCCCCATGCCTTAACACTTTGCGGTCACTCGGTGCAATAATGCGCTGGTGTGAAAATTACCCGTTCTGGTCACCAGGCCCGAGAAGTCCGTTGCAGTCACTCTCCTGGCTGGGTGACCAGATGGGGTATTTTGTACTGCTAGCTGTGTGACTGACTGCAAAGTGTTAAACAATACCACTGTAACAATGAAAGCTCCTGTGGCGTCCTTACTTCTGAAACTCCGGGTCATGAACTTTGAGCAGCGTCTCCAGCTCCTCCAGCTTCTCTTCCTCCGCTTCTGAGTCACTGGTGCCGCCATCTTTGTTCTGGACAAGAGCAACAAAAATGAATGAAAAGATAAATAAACAAAAAATTAAATAATTAAATCAATAAACGAATAAATTAAATTAATTAATAAAAGATAAAAAAATAAATAAATGAACTATTTAATTAAATAAATTTAAAAAATGTTTAATGAATAAATAAATAGAGAAATAAATAAACTAATTAATTAATAAAAAAAACAACAAACATACAAATAAGTAAATAAATAAATAATGTACATCAATCTCAATGCACAGATATTAACCCACTTTGTACAATTAGTTTGTTTTGGGTCTTTTCTCACTCTCAGGATGGCTCTGAGTGATAGGCAAGGTTGAAAGACAGAGATACTTGATATAAGATCTCCTCACTCAGCCTCCTGCATGTGAGGCAAAGTGTCTTCTTGCTACACAAGAGATGTCTGTTAAAATACTGGTCGCTTTTAAGCACAAGTGGGCGTACCCAGATTTCGGGGGTTTCTAGAAATCTTAACCAACACCAAAAAGGGGCACTGCCCAACCTATAGAAAAAGTTTGGTTTCATTGGTGGGTATATAATTTGTTTGGTTATACTATAGAGAAAACTCTCCTTGTCTTTTAAAGAAACTGAACAAGGGGCAAAAACTTTACCTTAGATTTTCTCAAAACAGCATTTTTCATTATAACCCCCTTGTGCTTAAAAGCGACCAATTAAACTGAAAGATTTTATCACACCGATAGCCATAGGTGTTATGACACGCTGGAATTAGGCGTTCATCAATTCTTGGGCATATGGAGTAATTGATATCACATTAAAACTTGTTCATTTGCCTGTCTTTGGAAGAAAAAGTACCCATCCATCTTGAATAGAAATCGAGATATTTGCGACTGAAAGATGTGGGGTAGCCTGGTTTCAGAGACTGAAAATTTACAATTTTTGTTCCTTTAATCAACATTTTTTAAAGTAAAATTCACTCAGAATTATTTTATATATGAACATAAAAGGTGTAAAGCCAAATTCGATAAAATGTGCCAAACTGGTAGAAAAATTCCTGCATCTTCGATTTCATTATTTTGATGAGCGCCTGATTTCTCAAATATATGTCAAGATGCAGTGGAATCGGGCACTCGTCAGTTTTTTGGCCTATGGAGTTACTGGTTTAATCTTAAAGCTTGTTGATTTGTCCTTCTTTCTGTGAAAATTTTACTCATTTATCTTGAATAGAAGTCGAGATATTTCGGATTTACGGAAGGGGGGGGGGGGGGGGGGTAACCTGTTTTCTGAGGTAAAATTAGCGAGAAACAGGCTGCCAAAGTATGGCAACTTCTATAGCTTGAGAGTCCTTGAAAACTCAAAATTTGTATATTTTGAACCATTGATCAACATTTTTCAGCAAAATTCTCATGGTAATGTATTTTTATATTGACACAAAATGTATTGAGCCAAAAAACAAAAATTTGACAAAAATGGTCAAACTGGAGGAAAAATGCCTGTTTCTTCAATTTCATTATTTTGACCAGCGCCTGATTTCACGATGCCTCTCATATATTGTTTAGGGAAACAGCAGGAGGAAAGATACAAAAATAACAGAGGAACAAGACTTTACTTTTACTTTTCTGATTCAGTGGCCATCTCGGTTCTAGCCCTTAGGCCTGTCGATATGGCAAAAAATTTACAGGTTTTTATCAGCTGTGTTTTGTCGCTGTACAAAGTATTTCTGATATTTGGGGAGGCAGGTAGGTAGGTGCTATGCAGGTCGTTAAGTGCAGGACAGGTAAAGAGGTGGTGTGATACTGTTTCATCTTGGTAGTCACACAACGGGCAGTCAGGTGGGGTATCCTTGTGGATCCTATTTAGGTAGGAATTCAGAGGGATGTGCTGTGTTCACAGGCAAAAGATAGGGAGTTGACAGAGGAACAAGAAAGGTACAGACTTATCTACATCTCAGCAAAACTGTTATGATTTCTGAATCTGGTCATTTAATTTGGAAAAAAGTCAGACATGAATTTTCAATGCAAACGACACTCAATCAGTTCAGTTTTTTTTTTGCTTTTGTACTCACAATTTCCTTATATACATCCCAGTCGGCGTCATTTTGTCCAAAGTTGTCTCCCTTCTTCGATGGCTCTGTCGATAGATCATTGACGAAAAGAATAACTTGATGAAATTACACTCTTCTTACAACAGAAACCAGACATTGTCAGCAAAAAGTCAATTGTCTTCATAATGTTTTATCTTTAGTAGAAGTTTTTTACTACAACTACTTGCATAGGGCATAATATACATGCCGAAGACTAGAGGTGCTGCTAGAGAGTAACACACTTGTACAAAGAAAAGGAGATGAAATAAAGATGATAGATTATAGATTTTTGACAGGAAAGAAGGGGAAACCCACACAAGAGCATCTGCCAACCACCCATGCCTTCAAAATAGTGAGCACAAAAACTAGGAATGCATATGAGGGTGTCTGGGTAAGTTTTGTGGGATAGTATTTACTCAGGGACGTACTGGAGAGAGAGAGAGAGAGAGAGAGAGAGAGAGAGAGAGAGAGACAGACAGACAGACAGACAGACAGACAGACAGACAGACAGACAGAGAGACAGAGACGGAGTGAGAGAGAAAGAGGATTACCATAGGAGCTGTGCGCTGCATACGTTCTTTGTATTATTGTATAGCGCACGGAGCACTTTTTTGTGGAAATGTGCTACATAAATGCAATTTATCATTATTATTATTATTACTAAAACTAGCAAAAGACGTTCTCCTGCCCTGGGGGTGAAGTCCTATCATTTGTTCAAATTTATACAGCGCTGGCCCTATGGGACCAACCATAGGCCTCTTCAATCAAGCCTTGTGACCTTGTGCAATAAATATCTCTTAAACAGCTTAGTGCGACAGCTTAGAGACTTATTTCGTCGCATCGCTACACATAATCTATATAAAAGTGGACTTGGGAGGCTTTGCACACAAACTCCTCCCTTATTACCTAACCCACACCTTAGAAACTTTGCAGGCGTCCACAGCATCCATGTGGCTAGGACCAAACTTTAAGAAATCCATGCAAACTGCTTTCCCTGATTTTTCCAAAATGCTTTGTTTCGTCCACACAGAGTGCTACTTTACTTTTACTTGTTCATCCTCTGTTGCCGTTAACCTTCGAGGAGAGATGCAGTTTTCTATGGTAGGCCAGCTCCGCAGCTCTTTCAGTTGTGATGTTATGTTTTATTAGGGTTTCCTTGACACCCTCGATCCACCTTTTGCACGGCCTTCCTCTTCCTTTATAGCCTGAGTGCATGGTGTTGTCGGCTCTCGAGGCTGGCTGGTCAGGTGACATGCGTAACAGGTGGCCAAACCATTTTATACCCTGTCTTTCTATGTAACGCAGGCAGGACTCAGTGCCAATAGCTGCTCTTACTTCTTCATTTCTCTACTGGATCGATAACAACAACTTCATTTCTCTGCCTGTCTCGTCTTGTGATGTTAAGGGTTTTGCAGAGACATTTCATTTTGCATGCGGTGATTTTGCTTTCATGGGTTTTGTTTAAGGTACAGGTTTACATATTGTAACATAATGTTGGTATGAATATTGAGGTGATAAGCTGTCTCTTAGTGTCCATGGAGATGTTTGGATGAGATAGGAGGGGGTGCGGGCCGGTAGCTGACAGCATTGGCTTTTTGAGTTCGCATTTCTATTTCTCTGTCTATGGACCCGTTTTTAAAAAAAAGTGCTGCCAAGATATTTAAACTCCTTCACCTCTTTCACTTTTTTACTATTGACATGGAAGTTCAGGGGACTATGGTTTCGGCTCACTTTCATAACTTCTGTTTTTGATGTGCTTATTTTCATGTTGAATTTCTCATAGGTGTTGTTGAGTTCAGTAGTGTGATTTTGGAGGCTTTGTTGGTCATGATGAATAAAACATTGGTCGTCTGCGAACAGAAATTCATTTAGGCTTTCTGGGCTTTGGTTTGCTTCTTGCGTTATTGTGTAAACACAGAGTGCAAATCTTGGGAAAGTCCATCTTCTAAGACGCCGTTGTAAACAAGTGAGGTTTCCGTTCACTAGCCGTGCGCTGCTTACACACCTTTGAAATTCTGGAGTGTACAACCACGAGAGTGGAAAAGAGAATCAATCTTCATATCTTTTATGTATTTGGCAACTTAGAAACGTGTGTCACTTTTCTCTCAAGATTATTGCTCCATTCCAATAGAGTGTAAATATAGTAGGCCAATGACTTTCAGATGATGTTAATGCATCGGTCAGTCCTTTCATCGAAAGGGGGCCCAGCTAGCTTAATATTATATTTCACTTCACACAACTGATGGACTAGGGATAGGCTTTGCCTCTATGAGACCTACATTGACAGACCCATACAGGACAACACTTTACATTTACCGTCTGTCAGGTCTCCACTACGCCACCACAAACGAGTTAATTAGAGACTTAAGAACTGACTCTGTTACTGCAATCAGTTGAGTAAGTACTGTCACCGTTGGGTGTTGGTGAAGTGAAATGCGTTTACAGTGGTTATTCTTTTTCGAATGGTGTACGTTGGGCGATGTGAAGCAACATGACAAAATGAGTCACACATCTGTCAGGCGAGCCACACATCGCATTTTGACAATACTTTTACTTTACTTTTCCGATCCAGCGGCCATTTGGGTTCTAGCCCTTTGGTCTGTCGATATGGCAAAGAATTATTTTGACAATACAAGATTAGGGGCATCAAATTAAAGATTTTCTCAAGCATTACAAGAGGGTGAAAACAGCAGTAGTCATGTCATTCTATAGTTGGGTTTTTTGTGCGTGTATTTTGTATTTTGTGTACTGACAAACAACTGGTCGGTTGTATTTAATTCTCATGTAGAAAGTGTGTTGTATTGAACAACATAGGTACCCTGCCCGCATCTCCTATTCTCGCAGATGTTTTTATAATAATAATTTAATAGAGGTTTTACGGCATTCGCAACTGCATACAGTCATATGAGCGCCAAGGGGTGGATGTCAACAGAGAAGTCTTTACAGGGAATCAGGCTTACTCTGCTCTCCTCTCTAGCTTCAACAGCACAAAGTCTGTTTCGACTTTCAAGGCACCCTGGAAATAGCGGGTCACAAGAGTGTGACATACATACAAAAGAAGTTGAGGAAAAATGACAATAGTGAGGATTAGGAAAGAAAAAGCAGCAGTTCCCTGTTGTAGATCTGGCACAGTTATGAGCATGACATTGATGAATCAGCCCATTTACAATTCTACTGTGCTTGAACGAGAAATGTTCCCCCTTTGGGAATGGCCTTAAGACACTTCAGTCAGTGAGTGGCACTGCCCCGGGGGGTTTCAGATGTTTGGCCCACTTTGACAAAAAGTTGGGAGACCCGTGACCTCTGCTTCAGACTTTCTTTTTGAGACAGAACATTCCATCAACTTACGAGCTGCCAGCTGGGAAATGATCCTCATTCGCTGCTGAGAGGCAAAAGTTCTCCTTTTGGCCATGTCTGACTTCCTCTGTCGTCGGGCGCTGCGGGCATCCAAGATTTTCTAAAGGGGGGGGGGGGAGCAATTATCATGAAACTGGTTTTTTTAGTTTTAGTAGAGGTTTTTCGGTGCTCGCAACTGCATAAGGTCATATGAGTGCCAGAGGATTAGAGGTGTTACAAGAGAGTAACAAACATAAAAAAGAAGAAGGGGAGATAAGGACCAGAGCTGTTAAAGTACTTTTTATTAAGTACTTAAGTACAAATTTAAGTACAATCTAAAAAATGTACTTAAGTACAGTAAAAGTACTTTCCTATAAAATGTACTTGAGTACAATTACTTTTTAAAAAAGTACTTATGAGTACATTTTGAGTACTTTCTGCTAATATGCTAAAACACTTCAGCGCTTATGTAAAACATATTTTATAACTTATCCAGTATATTTGACAAATTAGGCTATTTATTACTAAAAATGTAAACAGTATACAAAGCATTTGAATATACAATGTACGCACTGAACGGTGGAAATGGTCCGTGAAGTTGAACAAAAAACAACCCAAACGAACAGACGCAACTAGTGGGTAAGTGATATTATGAATAGAACGTGTTTGAGCAAGACAATGTGATCAAATGTAAGTCAGTCCTAGAGGTCGGAAAGTTCTACAGAAAAAGTATCCAAATTGAAAAATGTAGATACAAAGTTGCTCTTAAGAAAACATAAAATTGATGAAAATGGCCCGCATAGAAATGGAAAAGTGCATTGAATTCTTCATTAACAAATCCTCAAGGAATCAATGTAGCCTTAAGCAAAAACCACCCAAAAAAAGTTTAAAAGAAATTTAAAAATTGTTAGAGACACATTGAGAACACAGTTTCAGTTTCAATTGATTAAAGTGGTCTGACAGATTTTTGTCACACTGTGTAGTCCACGGCGCCAACGGCAAACCAAAATACAATAGTTTCCTAGAGTCTAGTAAGTGTAGTGTAACCAAAGATTCTCTACTGCTGTAGTCTCCGCCTAAGATCCCAGTGCTCGGAAGCAAGGAAAATATGGGATCTTAGCCAACGAAGCCAAGGAAGAATCTACAGTGACCCATGAACTGACGTGACCCCTTGGGTGGATTCATGACATATGGCAAGCAAAGAGTGGTCAACCTTGATTACCAATCACAGTGGCATGAGGCATGCCATAAATAATATTATATATACACACTCATTAGCCTATCGTGAGTCTTGAGATCTTTATCTACGTTTATCCAGTTGCCCCTCCCCTTTACCTGTCCAACAATTTTAGCTTTCCATCTCTGATTGAGTTCCCCCCCCCCCCCCCCAACCTCCTTTGTCATTACGCACCATTACGATGTGACCACACTAATTAAAATTCAGGTTGTCTCGCAAATTCGGGAAAAACTGCTTTCAATGGTCAGGGAAGAGTTCACAGTTTGATGTGATCCCGCCTGGAGCGAACTTGTAGGCCCTACCCACCCAGGGAGTGATGTAATTTTCGGTGGTGAGGTCAGATGCGAGTGCGATGTTTGGGGAAAAGAAACGCATCGGTCAGTTCACACCTTGGTGTGATCCCGTCTGGGGCAAACACTGTACCGTTTCAAGGAGTTTTACAACGCTTGTGATCACACTCACGATAGTGGCTGATCTTTGAGGCGACTGGCCGTTCTTTGATCTCAACTTTTAACTCTTGGCAGTTGATCGGGTTTTTGCTCCGTAAATTATGATCAGAAATGCCTGCACTTACCCTTTCATTAAGCTACCAAAGTACTCAAAATGTACTTAAAAAGTACTCAAAAGTACTTTTATAAAAAGTATCGGAGTACAGTAAAAGTACTGGTTTCAAAAATGTACCGGAGTACAGTAAAAGTACCGAAAATTGTAACGTAAGTACAAGTACCGGAGTACTTGTACTCCGTTACTACCAGCTCTGATAAGGACGATAGATGTTTCATAGGAAAGAAGAAGCAAACCACACCAGAGCACCCACCAACCACCCACGAAACGGGTTTTATGTCACTTTAAGCACAGTGAGGACATTGAAAATGCCAGGACTTCAATCTCAACATTCATCTCTAACAGTTATTTGAGTTAAAGAGAGGTATATCCACATAAAAATGATCACTCTGTGCTAAACGAAAACAAAAGACACCAGAAAAACAGGCAGAAACAACAGAGTCTGAGAGTGGTTGCAAAAAGAGAAGACCAAGCTAAAAGCATTTTCCAACCGCCCAACATCTCAGATAGGGCTCAACCAAGTTATTTAGTCTTTTCATTCAAATTTTAAAAAGCGCACTCCCAAAATAGATTCAGAGCTAGGAAAAAGCAACTGATAGAAAAATAGACAATAGAGGGAGAGTAAAAAAGTAGGACCTGTCATGGCACCCTTCAACAGCCCACAATGAAGTAGCTGGAGCACCATGGATCCTCATAAAAGTTCAAGAGCAAGCCTTTGGAGACTCGATATAGGGTAGTCCAGCACGATACCAACAGAGCTACCTGCACGATATAGAGAGAAACCCTGACAGAAAGAACCCCAGTGGCCGCCATGCCGTGCAAACTCTACAGCCACGCAATTTAGAACAGAGCTCGATCGTGCGACCAGCCAGTGCATCGGGAGCTCCAGCTAAGAGAAACCATGTGTAGTGTAAAGGGGACAACCAATCTAGACAGACCAGGCCATATAAGATCGTAGCGATCGATGTCTGACATGTCTCCGGACATACGCTCCCAAAGAGAGACTGGACAGACTAAGGGAAGCTGGTGTCTCTACAGGGTCGGGGAGAGACAGCAACCTGCGTGGAAAAGCCAGAAGAATATCCAACCTGTTGATAAATGGCACGATCAGCAGGCAGACCCTTTCATAGATCCTGGAGAGGGGGGAGGAGCAGCTATGGCATGGTGCCGCCTGCAATGATACCTATTCTCCAACCAAGTAAGTAAGTAAGAGCTATCTGCAAGCTGGAGCAGTAGGGGAAGGGCCTACAACCTTCTAGACTAGTTTAGTTTTAGTAGGTATTACGGCACTGGCAACTGCATAAGGTCATATGAGCGCCAAGGAGAGCATGTCAACAGAGAAGTCAAAACGGGGAATCAGGCTTACTCTGCTCACCTCTCTGGCCTCAACAGCACAAAGTCTGCTTCGACTATCAAGGCACCCCGGAAATAGCGGGTCACAAGAATATGACAAACACACAAAAGAAGCAGAGGGAAAATGGCGAAAGTGACGATGTGGAAAGAAAAAGGCAGCAGTTCCCCCTATGTAGCTCCCACACAGTATGAGCATGACATTTGTAAATCAGCCCATTTACAATTCTATTGTGTTTAAGAATATGCTATTATCCCCGCTTTGGGAATGGCCTAAACACAACTTCAGTCAGTAGCACTGCCCTGGGGGGAGAAGCTTCTAGATAAGTAGAAACAACTAGAGTTGAATTGAAAAAATGTGATGTTTTACAACAACCAAACTGTATCAGAACGCACGAGGCATTCATATTGATAATCAAAACCCTAATCAAATCAAGTGACTAATTCATGTACACAACCAAAAATTGTGTTAAAAAAAAGCACAACATGTTGTTTATGTAAATAACCAAAAACCTGATCAAATCAACCAACGAATTCACATGACCAACCAAAACTGCATCAAAACACACAATGCACACACATAAGTCCAGCATAAACTAGATCAAAACAAGCAATGTTTTCATGGAAACAACCAAATACTGCTCAGAAAAAAAAAGCAACATATTCAGGAAACAAACCTGTCGTTTGGTTCGCACTTCAGCCAACCAGCCGCTGAAATCAATCTTCCTCCGCTCTTCCAACTTCTTCTCCTCTTCCCACTCCTGGTCACAGAAAGAATGTGCTAATGTGAGAACGACAAAACGGCATTCAAATCAAGCTGCTTCATTTTTGACAAAACATAAAAAGCTGTCGCAAAGAAATTAATTATTTTTAAATAAAAACATACTTGGAAAATATTTTATCCTCCTTTTTTTATCCTTTGCTGGATTGTGGTTCTTATTCATTCATTTTCTTTTTCAAGCTTAATGAGCTTCTGATACTATTTAGACGATAACACTACACGTGCAAGAAAGTCATTAGACCAATAAAATGTTTAAATATCATTAAGATTACACAATGCCAAATTCAGACTTATGGGCACATCTTCATTACATTGTAATTTCAAAGCCTACTAGTTGTGGGTATATATAAGTCTTACACCTGAAAAGTTCTGTTATTTGGACTGCTGACTATTCATGTGGCAACACGACAAAATGAGTCACATGTCCAATTTTGACAATATAGCAGTATAGGGTGTCAAATTATAAATCCCCCAAAAAGCTTTACAAATGGGTGAAAACAGTATCCATCAAGCAGTCCTGGTTCCAAGGTTTAGTCAACTGAAGTTGGGGAGTCCCACTGCACAGTTAGGAGACATTCGAGGCTTTGCTCGACATCTCGAAATAGCTGAATGGGACAAACATCTCATTTTGTCACAGTGCTACACATTCGTATCTCCTGGACCGCTTGGGTTAAACCCGCAACAAAACACACGAAACTTTTGAAGGATCATCATCATCCGGTGCCAGATCTGCGACAGACATTGGCGATCATGGTTCTCAATTCATTCCTTTGCTCGGATGTTCTCAAAAAAGCTACGTTTCCCTGATCTTTCCCTGTTACCCATTTGTTTAGGTTCCCTAAGTGTGTTGTTCTGGGCCTTCCCCTGCCTCGCTTGCAGTTTCGCCAGTGAGAGCTAGATGTTCAAGAAACTTATGTCTATTTATGTGTCCCAAAAACTGCATTTGTCGTTTCCTGATTGTTTTTAACATTGAGCGTCCCACTTGGGCTTCATCAAGCACTGCCTCATTTGATTTCTTTTCCTTCCACGATACTCTTAGCAGTCTCCTAAGAAACCATATTTCTGTTGCTTCTATTTTATTTTCACTGTCTTTAGTGATTGTCTAGCATTCATAGCCATATAGAAGGGTTGACCAAACATAGCATTTCAGAACTTTCATTTTGGTGTTCATTGAGATGTTTCTATTTTTCAGGATTTGGCTCATTTTATTGAAACTAGCCTTAGCTTAGCCATTGTAGTTCTCTGTCTTATGAAGGATGTTCGTAGACAAAAAGACAGACCCTTATCTGTGGTGTAATAATTGGGTTCTTTTACACTGTGCACACAAGACAGGAGCAAATCCCATGTGAGAAAGTTAGTTTAGTTTAGTACACGTTTTACGGCACTCGCAACTGTATTAGGTCATATGAGCGCCAGAAGATTAGAGGAGTTACAAGGGAGTATTAAACATATAAAAGAAGAAAGGGAGATAAGGACGATAGATGTTTCATAGGAAAGAAGAAGCCAACCACACCAGAGCACCCGTCAACCACCCACCCTCCCTATGTTAGAACTTAAGAAATGTAGCAAGCGTTCTGTCACAGCTAGTAAAAGAAAGCTATGAAAAAGGTTACAAGCAATTTCCTGTAGCACTTTATGAGACAAATCACTTGGGCAAACTGAGAAAGTTAATATAGCCAGTAACCCCAGCTTTGGGGAAATGGTCTAGACAGTGTTGGCGAAGGCGTTTTTTGTTTTTTTTAATAGTAAAGGGTTTTACGGCGCTCGCAACTGCATAGGGTCATATGAGCACCAAGGGGTGGGTGTCAACAGAGAAGTCTTTACAGAGAATCAGACTTACTCTGCTCACCTCTATAGCTTCAACAGCACAAAGTCTGCTTTGACTATCAAGGCACCCCCCCAGAAATAGCAGGTCACAAGAGAGTGACAAACATACAAAAGAAGTAGAGGAAAATGACAATAGTAAGGATCAGGAAAGAAAAAGCAGCAGTTCCCTGTTGTAGATCAGGCACAGTTATGAGCGTGACATGAGTGAACCCATTTATAATTCTGTGCTTGAACGAGAAATGTCCCCCCTTTGGGAATGGCCTAAAAACACTAGTCAGTGGCACTGCCCTAGGGGGTGCTCTGTGGTGTAATGATCGGGTTATTTGACATTGTGCACACAAGACAGGAGCAATTTCCACGTGAGAAAGTTAACATAGCCAGTACCTCCAGCTTTGTGTAAATGTTTAGTTTAGTTTTAGTAGAGGGTTTTACGGTGCTCGCAACTGCATAAGGTCATATGAGCGCCAGAAGATTAGACGTGTTACAAGAGAGTAACAAACATAAAAAAGAAGAAGGGGAGATAAGGACGATAGATGTTTGATAGAAAAGAAGAAGCAAACCACACCAGAGCACCCGCCAACCACCCACTTTGTGTAAATGGTCTAGACAGTGTTGGCGAAGGCATAATAATTTTCAGTTTCAGTAAGAGTTTTATAGATCTAGTACTTACAATACAATTAGGTCATATAAGCACCAATGAATTGAGGTGTTACTACTAGAGGGTAACATACTAAAAAACAAAAACAGGAGAGATAAAAGACGATTCACGTTTCATGGGGAACTAGGAGCAAACCCCACCAGAGAGCCTGCCAACCACCCTTATGAGGGTGTACTAAAACACTGACAAACAACCCCTAGCCTAGCAATGACGAGCCGACCCACCAATCGCCTCTTCTCCCGTTGTATAGCCAGCGCCCTCTGCCGGCCCTCTCGCGCACTCTTGAGGATCCGCTGCCTCTTCTTGGCCGCCAGCTGCTCTGGGGTGACCATCTCGTCCGGGATGTCCAGCAAGTGGAACGACGGCTCTTTGGTCTGAAACAAATAAAATGATTCTTTTGTCTGAAACAAACAAACAAAGGTTATTTTGTCTGAAACAAATAAGGGTTCTTTTTTCTCAAACACAATGGTACTTTACGGTTCTTTGAGGTTTTATGGCGCTCGCAACTGCATAAGGTCATATCAGCGCCAGAAGATTAGAGGCGCTACAAGAGAGTAACAAAACATAAAAAAGAAGAAGGGGAGAAAAGGACGATAGATATTTTCACTTTAAACTTTCGATCATGTAGAAAAAATCTTGAAAGTTGTGTTTGTAGCCTGCTTAGGACCTGGTCACCATAATAATATATAATCATTTCATTGAACCAGACAGAGCAAATTGTACTTGCTTTCACATATTTCGTAACTTTTAGCTAAAGTATCACACTCTTTCTAGGTTAAAAAAATCTTTCACTTAACACATAAGACTATTACACTGAATATAATAGTTATCTGGCCCACTTTGAAAAAGTTTGGTGACCTATGCTATGGATAGAAAAATACCAAAAAAAGACAAAGATACCACGATACCTCCGACTCTATAATACCAGGAACAAAGAAAAAGACAAAGATACTATGACACCTCCGACTCTATAATTGCGGGAACATAGGAACAGACAAAGATACCATGATACCTCTGACTCTATAATGGGGGGGACGGGGACATAGATTCTATGATACAGGGAATATAGAAAAAAAGACAAAAGATATCACGCTACCACAAAGACAAAGATACCACGATACCACAACGACAAAGACAGCAGGATACCTCCGACTCTATCGGCGCTGGCTCCTGGCCCAAGATCTTGGCCTTAGCGCGCTGGATGTTGGCAGAGAGCTTGTCCACGTGTTCCTGGAGATCCTCCACTCGCCGGAGACCCACCTCAGCCAGGGCCGTCTGCACACACAGGGAAAGAAATACAGTCAAACCTGTTTTTTTAGTTTTGTTTTAGTAAGGTTTTGCAGCGCTTGCAACTGCATAAGGTCATATGAGTGCCAAAAGCTGTTTAACCCTTTAAGCCCTTGCCGTCGGTACACCGGTGGCGCGGGCGCGTATAACTGCCCATATGCCTAGCCACCCGTACATCGGTGGGCGAGACCCCCATCCCCAAACCGGCCCGCCCGAGACAAAACGCGTACGGTAAATATCGTCTACTACACAAGATGTTATTGATTATTTCGAAGACTTTTCTGAATTAAATGCTGGTAATGACATGGACTACCTTAACCCTCATCCTGCGGGAGCCGGGTTTATGTCGCCTGATAAGCCTATTTCGGCACCTTGCCTACGTTCTGGTCCCAAATCAGTGTAGCCCCTGGCTCAGCGAACGCGCAGCGTGCATCCTCTTACTTGTCATTCGGGTCCCGAGTCGGATCCCCATTCATGCAGGTCAAGTGTGTGTGTGTCAGTCTGCTGCAGTTTGTGTGCTTTGTGGCCTTCTTCTAGAACCGCCTGCGTAGGTTCGTAATCGAGGCATACGTCTCATTCAAAACATGCCAAGTTGGTAGCTCTAGATGTTGGTCCAATGAAATTATAGAAGAAATTGACCCACTTAGACATGAGGAGCTCGAAAGGATAGTCAGGAAACAAGACTTCCATTTTTCTATACAAAATATTTCAAATGAGCTTGATTTTGTATGAAATGATACTACCTGATAAAAAATAAGCTTGTTTGATAGTTTTGAATACCATTGTGCAGGTACAAAGAACAATTTGAGTGTAAAACATTCGGAAATAGACCTAAATTATCCCCTTTCGAACCTCAGGTCATTCATAACAACAAGAGCGTCCTGAAAGGTTATTCGAATGGGCGTAACTACTCGTAATGTCTTAACAGTTTGTGAGAGGGGGTTATTCATGTGTTTGTAACACTTTATAAATAGACAACTATGAAAGAGAGCGTTATTTTCATCATCGGTTAACACACTCTCGCGGTATTCATGGCGAAAACCCACGTTTCCCGGCGCGCGCGCGCTGTACACCAACTGTACACACTGAGTGACCCCGGCGGCCTGCCCGGCACGTCCGACGTAATCGGTTGCTGACAAGATACGCATCTGGGCACAGACGCAGGATAATAGTTAAGTGGGATATGGAACGTGATTCTTTTTTTAGTTTCAGTAGAAGTTTTACGGCGCTCGCAACTGCATAAGGTCATATGAATGTCAGAAGATTAAGAGGTGTTGCAAGAGAGTAAAAAACATAAAAAAGAAGAAGGGGAGATAAGGACGATGGATGTTTGATAGGAAAGAAGGAGCAAACCACACCAGAGCACCCGCCAACCACCCACAATGTGATTCTGGTGATCATATGAATGTTAGTAAGACACATCGCTCAGGAGCTCAGGCAGAGGGGCACTGTAGCCTCAGGAGGTCAGGGCTCAAAGGGTTAAGACAATCACTTTTACAAACAGTCAGTTTCCATTTCTCCCTTGCGGGGGTTTTTTGTTAACATTATAAATGACACTGTGGAAGACCTCCAGCAATTTAAGTCGCCTTCTTCTCCCCTCAACAATGTGTGGCCATATTCGTTTTTACTTTTAGTAGAGGTTTTACGGCGATCGCATGGGGATCAAGGACTGGTGATGGGTCTCATTTAAATATTGAGAAACACCCAAGCGTCTCAAACAGCTTCTCCCAATCCAGCCAACCGTACCTGCCCGTGGTGGTCCCTGTCCTCACTGACACGGCTCTGGCGAATGACGAGTTGTTGGCGCCAACAAACCAACCCCCCCGTTTCCTAGAGGGGTTAAAACAACAGGATGGGAGCAGGTGTGGCCCCACAAGGTGCAGGAGGCAGAACCCACCGATGCGTGGTAGACGCTATGCTCCTCACTAACACGCCCCTACTCTCCCTTGAGTGAGTGTCTAACACCTCTACTACTTTTATCAACACACCCTCTGTGGTTGAGAAGGTACCAGCCAGTTTGAGAGTGTCTGGGTGCAGGAGATGGACTGAGCAGAATGCCTGACTTGCTTTCTGGCCGTGAAACCTCTTAGTAAAGGCACAACGACCCAGGACGTGACTGTCCAATGGCTTCCCCACTTGGCCAATACCTCATGAAAGAGTTGAAAACCTTAGCCAGTAGCCATTGGTGGCGGGGAATGGGCAGCGTGAACCCTACCGGAATTACACGGTCACAGGGCAGTTAGGTCTTTCCAGTCTCATGAAAACTCCTAGTACCCTCCTATCCTCAACATGAATGGCCTCTTCTCAGGGTGGGCAGACAGTCCACAGACACCCCAGTCCACAATGCCATGACAACTGCGTTCGCATCTGCATGAGGTCATATGAGCGCCAGAAGAATAGAGGTGCTACAAGAGGGTAACAAACATAAAAAAAGAAGAAGGGGGGATAAGGACGATAGATGTTTCATAGGAAAGAAGAAGCAAACCACACCAGAGCACCCGCCAACCACCCACCCTAGGCCATCTTAGATAATTTCCACTGTATATGGGACGGGCACATCTGGGGGAACTATAGGCAGGGATACTTGGATAGAAAAAAAAAGAAAAAAAAAAAAGAGTTCCATCCCTCACATTACCTCACTGTGTCTAAAGAGCATCATCTTTTTACACGCCCCCCCCCTCCCACACACAAACACACACACATTACCTACAGCAGTGCAGGACACACAGAGCCTTAAGTCATGAAACGTGGCCAAACTAATTAACAGTACATGAGAAACTGTGCGGGCCAATGAAAGAACTAAGCAGGATGGCCTAGAATATTATAGGTACTGGTACTCAAGTGTGATGAGGTCAAGAATAAGAAGAAGCTCTCTCTCTCTCTCTCTCTCTCCCCCTCTGTCTCTCCCCCTCCCTTTACCAAAACAAAAAAAACCCAAATAATCGATCACAAAACTTATGTTTAAAAAAACACAAAAAAACAAAGGAACACCACACAGAAAACTGACCACAAAAGCATCGTCATCTGCAGTGAGAATCAGGTCTTGGACTTCCAGAAGTTTCTGCAAAGTGGCCTCATCAGCCTGAAGCTGTGAAAGAGAGTTTGGTTTTAGTAAGAGTTTTACGGCACTTGCAACACAATTAAGTCACATTAGTGTCAAATAGGACTGGGCAAAGAGCCACTTTAACAATATGTGGATAATATGTTAGTGCACCTATTCTGCAATTAAATGTGATATGAACTGCTTCACGAAATGGGTTAGAAGCATCACTTCAACAAATGGGTGAAACGCACTTCAGCAAATGGGTCGGGAAAGAGAGATAAGAGTCTGAATTCGGATAATGTTTCATTGAGAATTATCCGGTCCTTGGGATAATTTATCCGGATTTTGCCCACCTCTAGTGTCAAAGATCAAAGGTGTTACTAGAGATAAACAAACAAAGAAAAGGAGGAGAGATAAGGACGATACATGATTGATGGAAAAGAAAGAGCAGACCACACCAGAGTACCCACCAATCACCCATGTCGGAAGCATACAATAACATGTGCTTTTGTTGAGGTGAAAAGAAGCACATTGACAATAATGATCATTTAGTGAATGGAAAGGATGATGGTTTTGGGAGTACAGAAACGAAACACAAAATCTGGCACCTTGCAGGAAAGAACAGAAAAACGTTCAACCAGATGTGCACTGGCACAATCAGTAGAAATATCCTCAGCAACATTTTGGAGAGAGCAACGGAGCTTCAATGGAAGTGTACAGAAAGCAAGGATGTTGCTTCCAAAAAAAATGGAACAATGGAGAGAATGGAAAGAGTAAAAAAGGCAGGCAGAAACAAGTAAGGGAAAGGAAAGAAGGGGCAAAGGTACATAGGGGATTTGAACCGAAGTCTGACAAGTTATAGTCCAACATTATACAAACAAAGCTAACAGTGTACCACCTGCCTTTTTATTTTATGGATTCTGAAAAATACATCTGTGCTACTAAGACTTTTCCTCACACATTATCAAATGTGTTACGGCATGGTGGAATCAGGCACTAGTCAATTTTTGGGCGTGTTCTATAATTGGTATAATCTAAAAGCTTATTCACTTGCCTTGCCTTTAATGTAAAAAATACCCATGTATCTTGAACAGATGTCGAGATATTAACGATTGAAGGAGGTGGGGTCGCCTGGTTTCTGTGTTAAAATTATCAAGAAAAGAGCCATCGCAGTTTTGTTTCTTCAATAGCATGAGAGCCGTTGAAAACTGCAAAATAGCATATTTTGTGCCTTTAATCAAGGTATTTCAGTCAAACTCACATGGAAATGTGTTTTTGTACAGATATAAAAGTGTGTTGAGCCAAAAAGCAAAAATTTGATAAATATTGCACAACTGGCGGAAAAAGGTCTCATTCTTCGATTTCATTATTTTGATGAGCGCCTGATTTCACCATGATGCCTCACAAATGAAGATCACCTTGTCAAGTCGTCGGCGTGCATTAACCTCTTGAAGCCTCGAGATCTGCTGTCTTCGTCTCTCCTTTTGTTGCTCCGAGGACAAAAGCTGTTTGTTCAGAACCTGCTCGTCAAAGAAAAACAAAAAAATGAAAGAGGAAAAATAAGATATAAAAAGATTCTTTCTGTTAAGTTACACCTGTCTCTTGCTAACATAATGAGGAAATAAATAGATACGGCTTAACGGGGGCTCTCGTGGCCTAGAGGTTAAGGTGTTGGCCTCTCATTCAAAGGTCCCGGGTTCGATTCCGGGTAGCGACCAAAAAATTTTATTCTCTAAAATTGTCTCCTTTCACATCCTTTCCTGATCTCTAACAGTGTTCTGTTGTCTGCTTTCATTTCCACTTTCTGCCCCCACCCCCTCACCTCCTTTGCCCCCTCCTCTGGGCTCCTGACTCTTTCTGCAGCCTTTCTACTGCTACTCCTTGGCTCCTCCTAACTGCTGTCTTTCTGCCACACCCCTGATCTTCTGGTAGGAAAGATCTACACCTAGCCTTCTCGGACAAGGCGAAAAATCTCGGAGGGCCCGTGTGCAAGTTGCGCACGTTAAAGATCCCTTGGTGGTCTAAAATCGATAAGAGTAGGCTTCGGCCGCCACCCGGGCAAAATTCAAAATTTCCTACCAACTGAAAATATTAGGTGTGTCCCGCGCGCTCATATGACCTTATGCAGTTGCGAGCGCCGTAAAACCCTATACTAAACAAACAAACATACGGCTTAACATCAAAAGAAACACAAAAATGTATCCCATTCGCTGCACATACACTGCAATTTAAACTACATCCTACCCCCTCCCCATCCCTTTGTGATAGCTACTGTACATCATACGTCAAACTTTGTGAGCTAAGAAGCCGTCTTCCCAAACAATATGTCCTAAAAATCAGCTAATTTGAGCAATTATGTGGACCAAAAGACTTGCACCAGTCAGAATTTTATAACCCCACTACAAAAGCTTTCAAATAAATTTTACCAGATAACTGAAAAAAGACTTGAAATCTGCAACAGCCAAACTGTACAAATCACATAAATCTTTATTAACTTTTAACCAGAACACAATATAACTGAAACTGCTCTGTCCTGGCAAGAAAAATTAAAGTAAAAAAGTTTAAGCTGAATAAATAGTACTACACGAAGGGGGTTTAACAACATCAAAGGTTGATTGATTGCTCATTATTTCATGTCCCCATTGACCCCCACTATTTCTTATTGGTAGGTGGAAACACAGGTAGGAAGGCAGGCACAAACATACACAGAAACACTGAACAAAAGCAAATATAGTATTTTTTTTAAACTTTAAGAGCAGAAAAGTGGTCATCTCAGACAGGTGGACGTTTTGGACGGTGTCAGTGTCATAATAAAAAATTTTTTTAAAGCAGTGGGGAAGTCGTGGTTTGGACAGGTGATTATCTTGGGCAGGTGAGATTGTTTTTGACAGGTGGGATTGTCTTGGACAGGTAATTGTCTTGGGAAGGTAGGATTGTCTTGGACAGGTGATTGTTTTGGACAGGTGATCGTTGACACAGGTTCTACTGTATCTATAAAAACACACAAAAATTTTAAGAACGCAAACATAGGACCCACCTGTGCCAAAGGCAGTTGCATTTTCCTCACGTTTTTCTCGAAGAAATCGTAATCTTCCCAAGCGGCCAGGTCCGAGGAAAACTCCTTGGCAAAGTAGCAATGTTCGCGAACCATCTCCTGGAAGAATCGAGTAACCAGAAACGTAAAATCAACATTTACTAGGAACTTCTGTATTCTTCATCATTGGGCCCCATTCCTGTAAAAATGAAAGCATCTGGTTCGTGAAGCCAAGTATGATTGACTTGTGTTTGACACTTCACTCTTGTTTTTCTCTTCATAGTCCTTTCAATGTTTTTTTGGTTTTTTTGGTAAGTGTTTTTACGGCGCTCGCAACTGCATAAGGTCATATGAGCGCACGGGACACATTTAACTTTTTCAGTTGGAGGGAAATTTTGAATTTTCCTCTGGTGGCGACCGAAGCTTACTCTTATCGATTTTAGACCACCAAGGGATCTTTAACGTGTGCAACTTGCACATGAGCCCTCCGAGATTTTTTTGCCCATGTCCGATAAGGCTAGGCGAGATCTTTGCAACCAGAAGATCAGGGATGTTGCTGAAAGACAGCAGTAAGAAGGAGCCAAGGAGTAGCAGTAGAAAGGCTGCAGAAAGAGTCAGGAGCCCAGAGTAGAGGGAAAAGGAGGTGAGGGGGTGGGGGCAGAAAGAGGAGACGAAAGCAGACGACAGAACATTGCTAGAGACAGAGCAGGAAAGGAGGTGAAAGGAGGCAATTTTATTTTAGAGAAGAAAATTTTTCGGTTGCTACCCGAATACGAACCCGGGACCTTTGAATGAGAGGCCAACACCTTAACCTCTAGGCCAAGAGAGCTGCCTTTCAATGTTTAGTAAAGTTGTTTAATTCTTTTAGGACAGAGCGGACAAATATATCCGGTCCGATCAGTAGATAGGCGGGCAGGTAAGTGAATAGGTAGAGGTAGGCAGACAGGTAGGTGGGTAGGTTGATGGTTAGGTAGAGAGCAAATAGGTCTGTAAGTATGTGGTTAGATGGATAAGTAGTTTAGGCAAATACTGCCGTAAGCTGACCAAAGGCCTTTTTTAATTCACAGCAGTTTCGAGAAAAAGAGTCTTCTTTTTTTGTCAGCGTACGTAACCATTAAAAAAAATCTTTCTACCATAATTCGAATAATAATTTATTAAAAAACTAGTACCATCTTCATTTTGATTTCTTTTACAAGAATAGGGTAACTGATCAAGCTTTTGATTTAGTAAACAAAAAAACTGAGCGCAAAAATAAAAAAGACGTTTTGTCAGCCTATGGCAGAATAGGTAGGTAGGTGTGGAGGAAGATGGGTTGGGAGATCGGTAAATAGGTAGGTTGGCAGATAGGAAGGTGGGTAGGCTGATAGATAGGAAGGTGGATAAGTAGGTACGTAAATAGATGGAAAGGTAGGTAAGTAGAGGGATAGGTAAATAAAATTAATAAAAATAAATTACACTTTTATTTGTCCCGGAAGGGCACTTTGGTTTACAATGGCAAACATACATTTACATATATAAATACATAATTATAAATATGTACATACGTAAATACATGCATAAATACATACATAAATGCACAATATTACACAAATACAGAACAGTCTACAACCACGCCACTGTCGGTCGCCACTGTGCAGCACCCTGTATTTTCAGCTAGAGTAATCGTGTCTTGTTCAAGGACACACCCCAATAACCACCCATCTGATCCCCGTGTCACCGAAACTTGCTTGACATTACTTGAGTCTAAACTCACTACCTACTTAGCCACTGGAGCCCCCCTAAGGTAGGTAAGAGAACAAGCTGGCAGGCAGACAGACAAAGACAGAGACACAACCCTCGATTACCTCCACCCTGCTCATGGTGATGGCAGCGACGTGGCACGGGTACTTGAGCTGCAGCATGCGCTGGAGGTACCAGTCCACGTAGCCGCCACCGATGTTGACCCGCCGACAGTGCTCCGGCTGGATCCGCCCGTCCAGCACCGACAGAAGGTGGGTCGCCTGGTAGCCGCAGTCCACCACCAGCGCGTTGGCACTCTCTACAGGGAGAAAACATCGATTTTTATTTTTATAATTTAGTCTTTTTAAAGTGTTAGTAAGTGTTTTACGGCATTTGCAACACAATAAGGTCAAATGAGCGCCAGAAGATTAGAAGTGTTACAAGAGAGTAACAAACATAAAAAAGGAGGGGAGATAAGGACGATCGATGTTTGATAGGAAAGAAGAAAATTAGTTTTAACCCTTCAAGCCCGAGCGCCATTTTTGTGCACTCCCTAATGGCCTAACCCAAGTCCCAGTCAATACAGCAGAATATGAGAAAAAGCAGCACAGACAGCACACATTCTCAAAAGTGATGCAGTATTTTTTGTTTTAGTAAGTGTTTTACGGCATTTGCGACACAATAAGGTCATATGAGCGCCAGAAGATTAGAAGTGTTACAAGAGAGTAACAAACATAAAAAAGGAGGGGAGATAAGGACGATCGATGTTTGATAGGAAAGAAGAAAATTAGTTTTAACCCTTCAAGCCCGAGCGCCATTTTTGTGCACTCCCTAATGGCCTAACCCAAGTCCCAGCCAATACAGCAGAATATGAGAAAAAGCAGCACAGACAGCACACATTCTCAAAAGTGATGCAGTATTTCTGTTTTAGTAAGTGTTTTACGGCATTTGCAACACAATAAGGTCATATGAGCGCCAGAAGATTAGAAGTGTTACAAGAGAGTAACAAACATAAAAAAGGAGGGGATATACGGACGACAGATGTTTGATAGGAAAGAAGAATATTAGTTTTAACCCGTCCAGCCCAGCCATTTTTGTGCACACCCTGACCAAAGTCCCTTTCAGAAAAAGAGGCACACATTCTAAAAAGTGATGCAGTATCTTTAGTTTTAGTGTTTTACGGCATTTGCAACACAATAAGGTCAAATGAGCGCCAGAAGATTAGAGGCGTTACAAGAGAATAACAAACATAAAAAAGAAGGAAGGGAAATAAGGACGACAGATGTTTGATAGGAAAGAAGAAAATTAGTTTTAACCCT